TTAATATATACACACACAGATGTAGTGTATTTACTTCTGTTTTATTAACCCAAAATTTAGCGAACATTAATTGTATTTTTAGACAGGTTTTAAGCAGTTTTAGCTGTTTTTATTTCCTTTATATTTGTATTTTTCACTGTAAAATTCTTACTGTTGTGTTTTTAGGTAAAAGATTCTAAAATCTGTCCAAAGACAACAGAAGGAAAATAGCCTTTTTGCTAATTCTGGTGCATTTGCAGGAATGCTTGTTGATGTACACTGTCCCTGTCAAATAAACAACTAAATCTAATCTGCCACTAGATGGAGCTGTTTTGTAAAGCTCTGCTTCCTCCTGCTCCTTACAGGTCCAAGCACAACTCTTGCAGTTTGCAGCAAAAAACATTGGTCTTAACCCTGCACTTTTAACCTCACCAATAAACCCTCAACAAATGACCCTGTTGTATCAACTACAGCAACTGCAAATGGTAAGGCTTCCATTTTTCCAAAACTTTTTCATTGTATTAGACTACAAGCAAAAAAAATAATGCTATGATATGATATTAGCTCTTAGTTTAAAGAGCAAGGAGCAAAAATTGATCTAAATATACTATTTAACAGGGAAGAAAAGTATTTGCCATCAAACTTCTGGCCAGAGAAAAAACCCGTAATATGTTGCCAACATTTGTAAGAAGAATGTTTTCAAGATGACTTGGATAATAGCGCGTTGTGACAAACACCAGATACAGCACTGGGACTTGATCAGATTTTATCACTTTTATATTGCTTAAAAAATGATATATTTTCATGGGGTGCTACAACAGGTGCTCAATTTCCCACATACTAACATGTTTTTTCTCTCCTCCATCAGGCGTACCAGCGTTTACAAATCCAGCAGCAGATGATGCAGGCGCAGCGCAATGTTTCCGGCCCCATTAGGCAACAGGAGCAGCAAGTGAGTCAACAGGTTGATGCTTACAGGAATGAAATATTTCCTTACCTGCTGGCTGTTGTGTGACTATAATCAGGGCCGTGACACAACTTTAGCTGAACATTTCTCATGTTGCTGTAATAACAAAAGTAAGAGATTCTTTTTCCAAGTGGAAGCTGTTCACACCTGGAGACGAAGGTTTTTCTGGGCCACTCAGTAAAACCTCTCAGCATTTTTTAGTTCAGCTTTCAGGTGATGAGATGCTAAAATTCAGAAACTCTCACCGCCACGATTTGCACTTCCTGCAACAAACCCTAATGCTCCTCCTTCCATCTCAGAATTGCTCATCCTGCTGGATATTTCTTATCAAACGTGCTTCCTCCTCTCTCGCTCCAGGTCGCACGTACAATCACCAACATGCAGCAGCAGATCCAGCAGCACCAGCGCCAGCTGTACCAGGCGCTGCTGATCAAGCAGCAGCAGGTCCCCTCCCATTCCTCCTCGTCCTCCGCTGGTCTGCACCCCCATGGTGGCCCCCCCGGAGTTCCTGGCTCCGGGAAATCAACCCTGGACCATTTTGGAGGCCCCCACCAAACTCCGGGCCTCGCTGACACACTGCACACCAAAGAGCCTCCGTCTTCGCCCAATGCCTACAGCACCTACCCTCTTTGTGAGTAATGAGGCCATGCATTACTAAAGTCTGTTTTTAGTAATAGACAACTAAATTCTGACCCAAAGGGAAACTCATTAATTCAATTCAGTTTATTTCGATAGCTCCAATTCACATCTTGTCATCTCAGGTCACTT